AGTCAAGAGCCGTCATGCGCCACCTCAGGTGGCCCACCTGGAATCCCTATGGATTTTGAGCCTTTTTTCGCCGCACAGCAAGATGAAGCCACACGCGTCCTGTGCTGAGCGCGTGCGTGCAGTGTTTGTCGATAAACCGGATTCCTCCGGTATATGCTGTCTCCTGTGTGTAAGCATACTATTTGCATCGCTCGTCAATGATTGGAGTAGGCTGGAAGCATTTCTGTATAATGATCATCCAATTCAGCTGTCACCTCAACATTTCTAATGCAACTCTTCACTTGGGCTGTCGCTCTCCTTTCTATGGTTATGGCCACTACGCTTTCAACTGTTGCCGCTAACAAGCGTTGTGGTGATCCACTGTGCTGGAAGAAAGTTGGTAGTGCCTCTTACTGTAAGGATTACCAGCAAAATCCAGCTGGGCGTGTTTGCCAGACTCTCGATGCCAAGGACACCAGAATGATCCCCTGCGAATGTCCTAAGCCAACCCCCACCACAACTACCACTACTCAATCACCGACACCTCCTCATAGGCCTTGTTCTGGCGGTGACTTATTCTGTGACTTCATGACAGACGGTGGTGTCTGCGAGAGGTTGCCGGACAGCGAGAACTCCGGCAAGTGCGTTGGTGGCGCCAGACCTGATGATTTCTCATGTGTCTGCATATAGGAGTAGATGTAGCTTTAACTTTTTGTCTCTTTCGCATTCCCCCTAAAGAAGTGCATCATTCACAGTGTGGATTCCACACATGTGCCTACTCGTCTGTAGGATGCAGCGACGGTTATTGAAATACTACGGTTGTGTTCTTTGTCACGAATACCGTGGGGGTTCACTCAACAGTCCATGTTGGCAAACTCGTTATTCATCACTATTCAACACTCCACATCACTAAGAATAATAGAAAATATTCCTACGAGGAAGCGAACCTTAGACCATCATCATGGAACACACGATCACTATCCATTAGACTATAGCTACTCGTAAGAGATGTAACCCTCCCCAGTAGGTTGAGTTGCTCTTCGTATTGACCATCCCCTCCATCTGATGCACAGTTATCAGGTGATGTGAGACTTCCACTGCCTCAGAAGATCCCTTCTTCGTTCAAGGGGATCCGTATCCACTACAAACACAATACGTAAAACTATTTGAACACGATAGTGCCATGGGAGGTATCAATGATGACGGAATGCACTGCCAAAAAATCTACTTAGAGTTTTTCTGGTGCCTTGTTTGAATGCATTGGCCGATGCCAACAATTCTACCGCTTCCGTTGAATCTTGAAAGTGGGAGCATTCAGCTCATGAAACTAACCAATTCATTACTATCAGTTACCAAAGCAATGATATCACCGACTCAATTATACACGGTCACAGTTTTTGGAGGCTGCATTTATATCACTAGTGAGCCGAGAATCCAGGTTGAGACCCCCTGTAGTTAAGGCGAAGTTAACAAGTTGGAGTTTCGCCCGTTTCACGTGGAGTGGCGAATTACTCTGAAAAACGCAATATTCGCGGTGATATGCAGTAGTCTCAAAATAGGTTTTCCATGTCACGTTTGAAACTCCATCGTATACTTGAAGTGACGATAAGAGAAGCAAAAGCTCTCACAGTTTGGTATTCGGGCATCCGTCCTGTCATTAATTCTCAAATTACTAGGGCATTCTTATCGTTATTGTTATCGCATTCTTTCGGCAAGCACATACTGGATGTTATAGCGACTGGGTTGTACGGTGACACGTTCGTTTCCAAAGAACACATTTTGCCTGAAAAGTGCCCGCTGTTAACAGACGAGATCGGAAGTATGCCTTTCTCGAAATGGAGAAGTTCGAAGCCTAGATTATAGATGTCATGCAACTCACTCGTATTCAGAATACCAGGAATGACGACCTCACGCATTTCACACGAGAGAGAAACACGGTACAGTTCCTTTGCGGAGAAATTCCTCAGCCGGGGATCGTACCATCATCCTCGATGAGAGGGAAAGTGTGTGGCCTAGCGAAGTACCCGTGAGGTGAGCGCTAAACAACCTGTTGTGTTGATGAAAATGAGTGCTGCAATGATCGAATGGCAGACTCCAAGGACTGCTGTAGGGATGTGGAGCACCTCAGCGGTACCATTTTTTTCTTATTTACCTTGGTGTTGGGCACCTGCTTTGCCCAAAGCTTCAACATATGCCATGATGGCATCAGCGCGCGCCAGGGGTGGGGGCCCCTGAGAGAGCGCGCCCAAACCTTTCACGCAATCGCGCAGGTGCGACCTGCCTATTGAATAGGGGCTGGAAATGAAAAAGCTAAATTTAAATGGCCCGTGGAAATCGGCTGATTATCCGTGTACACATAGATCTCTAC